CAACCATCATTCTCTATCCAATACCCCATTTTATTTCTTTAATATACTTAATCACAATTGGTGATTATTCATTTCCTTGCTTTTGAGAAAAACAACTCCTGAAACCCAGGAACTGGACTCATATTAGTAGCTAGGCCTTGGTGTTTGTTCTGGTTACCTAGTACCGCTCTGACAGGAATATACCACAAACGGGATGGCTTAAACAAACAGGAGTTTATTCTTACAACTTGGAGGCTTTAACTCCAAGTTCAAAGTGCCAGGTTCTAGGGGCTGGGTGAAAGCCCCTCAACCTTGGAGTCCAGCTCTGCCTCCTGGTCCTGGCCCACTGGAGCTAGGGGCGTTTCTTCACTCTGACAGCTGCTGGCTGCTGAGGCTGAGAAACCTCAAGGTTGACAAGTAAAAAAGCACAGTCCTGATGTTACCAAACCACACGGCAGGCCATTAACTTAAGTCCATTGTAAGTCCCAAGGTCGGCAGAGCATAGCAGGCTGCTGAGTAATGACACAGCCCCGTGCACACGCAGGGTCCAAGAATGCTGTAGGCTAGAGCCCATTTCCAAAGCTTCTCCTTATATACAGGAAGCAGACCACATCCCAAAGGGAGCTACTCAGCTGCTTGTGGTAGCTCTCACCATGGAGTTGACTGCCAGTCTCATCATGGGGAATAACTACCACCAGCTGCCCAACCACTCAACCAGGCCCAGCCAAGGTGACACACAAACATAACTACCACAGTGTTGCTTGGAGCTGGCCTGCTGCTCATAGCTAGGCCATGGTGTTCTCCTGTTGAACATAATCTCAGAGAACACTACCTGATAAGGTCGTTCGGTGACCAAGAGAAAGTGAGGCAAATTTCATAGTCTTGTCTAAGCACAGACAAAAAATGTCACTATGCAAATCAAAACACCAATTCTACCTGCCTAATGAGAGACTGCTACTGCTTTACCAGTTACAGTGTTAGCCATGCTTCATTCTTCCCTCCTTCTAAGTAGGATTTGAGATATGCATTCATAGAATCGTCCCAACCTCTTGACAGCACCCAACCCAGAACAATTCTCTGCTTCTTTGAGCCTTCCCCCAAATCACCTAACACAAGCTCTAATCCCATGTCATTCTGGCTGTTGTTAGCTGCCGCTGAGTTGACCCTAACTCATGGCAACCCCATGTACAATGTAACAAAACACTGCAACATCCCAGGTTGCAGACTGGACCTTCATGATCACAGTTTTTATTTGCTGATTATCAGATCACCAGACCTTCCTAATCCATCTTAGTCTGGAACCTCTGTTAAAGTCTGTTCAGTATCCTAGCAACACACAGGCCTCCACTGATGGGAAGGTGGTGGCTGTGCTTGTGGTGCATTGGCTGGGAATGCTAGTCCTGTCTTAAGGAGATGCCTCATGGTTACACATGCAGAGACTTAAATCCAACTGTTTGACTATAGGTTGTTCCTATGGTCTTTAGACGGAAGGCATGGATAGATACTTTTACTCTTTTACTCTCTATTGAGCTCCAGATTTTAGCACAGTGAGTGGCTGGTAGAGGCAGTTCGTCTCACTCTAACATGCTTTCATTGGCTGAGAGCCCCTGTTTTGCTGAGCAATGGCTGTCTGGAACAGAGACTACTTTTCCAACCTTCACTCACAGCTAGGTGTTAGCCATGAGATAAGTTACAGCCAGTTGGATGGAAGTTGGAGAACTGTATGTTAACTTTCAGGAAATTCCCTTCAAGACAGCTGTCCCTTTCTTCATCTTGAGGCTTAGAACATGGATGAGAAAGCTAGAGCTTAATTTTAGCCTGTGAATAGGAGGGTCTTACCCTAGGGATTGGAGTCCTTGGGTGGTACAAATGGTTAACGTATTTGGCTGTTAAGAGAAAGGTTGAAGTTTTGAGTCCACCCAGAGGTGCCTCAGAAGACAGACCTGGCAATCTGGTTCTGAAAAACCAGCTTTAAAACCAAATGGAGTTCTACTCTGACACACATGGGGTCATCATGAGTTAGAGTTGACTCTACTGCAGCCGGTACCCTAGAGAGTGGGGAGCTGAGAGCTGGGGGAAGGAAGTTCTAAGGATCTCGTGGCATTGTCATACAAGCTTCGAACTGTCTACCTCTTCTTGACTTGTAAAAATAAAATTTCTATCTTGCCTTAGGGAGCTCTGGTAGCGTACCACCTAAGGCATTTGACTGCTAACTAGAAGGCTGGCGGTTCTCAGAAGGAAGATTGGGCAATCTACTTCTGTAGAGATACTGCCTCGGAAACCCAAGGAGGGGTCATTGTGATTCGGAAATGACTTGATGGCAGTGAGTTCTGATATTGCTTTAGAAGCCCTGGAGGTACAGTCCTTGGCTGCTAACCAAAAGTTCAATGGCTTGAACTCACCAGAGACTTCCCAGGAGAAAGATGTAGCTGTCTGGAACCATAAAGATTACAGCCTTGGCAACCCTATGGGGCAGTCTACTCGGACCTATAGGGTCACTATGAGTTGGAATCCACTCAGTAGCAATAGGTTTGTTTTGGTAACTTGTTTTATGATTAATTTTGGGTTTCTGTTACAACTGAGCTGAAACCTGATACATTGAAACATAATAGGTACTTCATAAATATTAACTGAGTGAATGAAGTATCCATGCTCATGGCTTCAACCACACCTACATGCAAATATTCATATTTGTCTCTAGCTTTAATCTAAACAAAACTATGTATCAACTACTCAGTTTCTCTCTCTCCTTAGATGTCTTAAAAGGCAGTTTAGATCCAATAATTCAAAAAGCAAATTAATGACATTTTGCCTGTTCTCTTCCAATGATACCTTGCTGAGTAAATGGCATTTACACAAGCCAGACCCATCCCGATGAACTTAAAATACTTGTTTTACTTATTTCCAAATGTCCACTTTTCTGCAACACCACTACCAGGGTCTAAGTTACCACCATGACTCACCTGTACTACTGAAATAACTTCTAACCTCCACTTCCAAGCTTGGTCCTCTCACTCCATACATCATCAGAGGTGATCTTCTAGAAAAGCCTTTCTAATCCACGACACTCACCTGCTTATTAATACTCTTCAAAGGCTTCTGTTATCTGGCTCCTGTGCCTTTGCCTTGTCTTCCCCGCATGTTTCTCTTAGCTCACCACAGCCCTTTGCCTAGACCACTCTTCCCTCACCTCCATCCTTTAGAGCTCGTCTGTGTGATGTCTTTCCCTGACTCTCTTTAGTATACACTTTTTTCACCACATCTCAGCACTTATGACAGTTTGATTTTGCAAGCATTTGTGATGAGTTGGTAAATGTTTGTCCCACTTTAGATTTTAAACTTATCTGTTTTGGCTCTCAGTTATCGCTTGTTGTTGTTGTTGTTATGTGCCATCGAGTCAAACCCGACTCATAGCGACCCCTCCTTGGGTTTCCGAGGCAGTATCACTACGGAAGTAGGATTGCCCAACCTTCCTTCTTAGTATTTTGCCTGGCTTACAGATACTCTACAAATATTTGTTAAAAAAAGCTTAAGTTATCACCTCTCCATAAACACCAAAGCTACAGACAATGGTAAAATGTTTAAATATTAGTTGGTGGATACCTGTTCTTTCCTTTTCCTACAAACTTTACCCTTGAACATAATGTAGCTTGGTCTAGATGATGCTTGTAAGTTGATGGAACCCATCTGTTCTTTCAAACTAGAAGAAACTTAAGCTTTGATAGTCTCCATTACCACTGTGTATGATTTAAACGAAGAATGAGCCAACTCCAACAAGAATAACTTCATCTGTACCTCTAGAAGTGACTGGAACACAGGGATTAAAGAAAATGCTTGTTTCCACTGCATTTATTACTAATATATAAAAGAAAAAAATGTTAAAAAGAAAAAAAAAATTCATTCTCAGTTCTCTGACAGCTCTCATCCCTCCCTCTTGCCCACACAATTCCTGACCCATTTCCTCAGGGCAGTTCAAAACTGCATCTGTTCACTGCCGTTTTCACAGAAAACAACCAGTGCCAGGGATGTAAGGGAAGAGAGTGAGAAGAGGGTGACGGTACTGTCCAGGTTCCACCCGAAGACAGAGCAGGTGGATTCACAGAATTCAAATGAAAGGGCAAGGGCTGGTGGCCTCACAATGAGACAGTCTAACTAAAAATGGGCGGAGAGGAGACAGGGCAGGCCCATCAGAGGCTTTTTAAGATGTCTCATGGGCCTGCCAGTCCCAGAATAACCAACACTGGGAGAATAATGGGAAGGACTAGGGAGTCAGTCTCTTGGAAAGTTTCACAATTCTCCCGTGTTGGGAGAAGGGGAAAGTCTAGAGGGCACCAAGAGCTTAACTCATTTTGGCATAAAATGTACTCTAGTGTTGAGAAGCCACAAAAATGCCACAAACACTGAGAAAGGCTAAAAGGGGATGCACAGTTTCACAAAGCACAGTGATCACAGATCATAGCGATAGGGATCATGCTACTGACATAGAAACTACAAAATACAAAAGTAGGGAGAGAGGCCTTTCAGGGAGTAACTCCGTACCAGTCACTCACACTTGACCCCTGTCCAGGTAACCTGGAGAGTTTCACAGAGTAGCTGACAACATTGGGAGCAAGGGGTGTCACATAAAAAAGGACTTGAAAGCAGCAGCTAGAAGAAAGGAATGTTAGGAAACTGCTCCAGGGCTCTCAGGAATCGAGGGCAACACTGGGTATGGGTGGACAGATGCATGAGAAACAGCACCAATGAGGTTTCCTGTTCAGCAGTCATTTGGCAAGGGGGAAGAGAATCCAGGAGGCAGCTGAAGGGAGCAGAGATGAGGTCCTGAAGGTAAGTCTCTCGAGGCCAGATCAGAAGAGTGCACGCTGTGTGCCAGTGATGAGACACAACAATGAACCCCAAATGGGAGGTGGTAGATGAGGGTGGGTGTGTCACTGATTGAGGGTGTTGGGTGGAAGCCTCACAGTAGCTATCACAGGGCCATAGGGAAATTATGGCCACTAGGTCATAGAGGGCTCATTCCAGCCTGGATGGGAAGGCACAGTCTTACAGAGGAGGTCCATTGACGCCTGGGTGATAGAAGGCACAGTAGTCTTCATATCGACAATGGCCCTTTTTGGCAAAGTGTCGGCAGACAGGGCGGTCAGATTTGTCTGTGAGAGTGAAAATTGGGCAGTTTAAAATCTGAGTAAGAAAAGAAAAAAATGTTATAAAACGTAGACAAAGAGGAAGGTCAGATCACCTACTCCTTACCACTTCCAAATGTTTTGGAATAGTAATTTTTATAATGGGAGAAGAAACATTCAGGGCTACTTTTACTTCAAGAGGAAAAAGAACAGCGTAGAGTCATGCGCACTCTGACAAGTGGGCCATTCTGGGAGTAATGGGTATCAAATGTGCAAAGGCATTAACAAAATGAAGCTCACCTTCCATAACCTGGGGTCCATCCTTAGGTGGGCAGGTATTCTTGACAAGGGACCAGCTTTTGAGCCTTCGAGGGTTTCTTTGCTCTTTGTGAAAGGCCCCCCTGGGAGGACCCCCATGGCCTGGCCCTGGAAAAGGAGGTTCAGCATTGACTCCCCACCAACCACGACCATATGGGCCAAACCTGGGACCTAGGCCTCCCCGCATTGGACCTCTACCCCGAGGAGGAGGTGGGAGACTCAGCAGTGGTGGAATTAACTGTCCTCTTGATCCTGGAGGGCCTCTGTGAAGAGCTATAGAGAGAGACAGAGAGAAAGACATAGAAAAGTAATTAATGGCCAGTTTAATCTTGATATAGAAATCCTGATCTTATTTTTATTCTTTATATTGATATACATACAGAAAAAATACTTAAGTTCATAACTCAATTATCACAAAGTAAACACACCTATGTTACCACCACCCAGGTGAACAGATGGAATCTTATTAGCATTTCAGAAGTCCCCCCCTTGTGCCCATGCCCCTCCATTCCTCCCTCCTCCCAAAGGTAACACTATCCTGACTATAACACCATTGGTTAGTTTTTGCCTGTTTTTGAACTTCGCATAAATGGAATCATACAGTCTGCATTCTTTTGTGTCTGGCTTCTTTCGCTCAACATCATGTTTGTGAGATTCATCCAGGTTGGTTGCCTGTAGCAGTAGTTCGTTCATTTTCATTGCAGTGTAGTATTCCATTGCATGCATATACAACAATTTATTTATCCATTCTACTGGTGATGGACATGTGGGTGGTTTCCAGTTTGGGGCTATAACGAAAAATGCTGCTATGAACATTTTTATACATGTCTTTGTCACACAAATGTATGCATTTCTGTTGAGTATATACGTAGTAGAATTGCTGGGCTGTAGAATATATGTTTTAATAGATAAAATCTCACCTTTTCAGAGTGGTTGTACCAATTTGCACTCTCACCAGAAGTTGTTCACATCTTCCACAACACTTGGTATTGTCAGTTGTTTTCATTTTAGCCATTCTGGTGAGCGTGAAAAGTGGTGTTTGTAACTTGCATTTATTTGATGATTAATGTTGAGTATTTGTTCACATTGGTCATTCAGAGATCCTTTATGAGTTGCCTGTTCTAGCCTTTTGCCCATTTCTCTAAAAGACTGTCTAGAAGAGCTCTTTATATAGGCTAATAGCGACTTGCACACATCTCTCACTCTATAGCTTTCTTTTGACTTTTTGTTGTTGTTAGTTGCCTTCAAACCAATTTTGACTTATGGCGATCTCATGAGTGCAGAGTAGAACTGCTTCATAGGGTTCTTAAGGCCCTGGCCTTTTGGAAACCAATTGCCAGGCCTATCTTTCAATGCCCCTTGAGTGGGAGGGAACTGACAACCTCTTGGCTAGCAGTCAAGTGCTTAACCAGCTGTGCCACTCAGGGACTCATTTGGATTCTTAATGTCATTTAATAAGTGGAAGTTTGTATTTTTTAATGTAGATCAATTTATCAATCTTTCCTCTACGGTATATGTGTATCTTGGTGGTTAAAAATTCTTTTCTAGTAGAATTATTCTTTTACTTTTCATACTTAGCAATCTACAGGCCACTTGAAATTGATTTTCACATACAGAATTATTAAGAGTTTAAGTTTTTTTCCCCACATGAATATATAACTGACCCAGAATCATTTACTGAAAACACCATCTTTTTAATGCCACAATATAATAAATAAATACATGTGCAGGCCTGTTTCTGAACTCTCTATGCTATTTATTGACTTATGTGTCTACTATTGTACTAACACCACACTCTTCTAATTACTGTAGCTTTACAACAACTCTTGATATTCAGAGTAAGCTATTTTATCCTTTAAGAGTGTCTTGGCAGTCTCTCACTCTGACACACAGTATTTCCATATAAAGATGTAAAATGTTTATTTCCACAAGAAATAATAGGAATTCTGACTGGGAATGCATTGCTGCTATAGGTCAATTTGAGAAGAACTGACATTTTCACATTGAGTTTTCAATCTGTGAATATACAACATCTCTCCATTTACTTAGGTATAGAACCACTGGTCTTCCGATTTTAGGCCCCTTCTGGGTTTTACTCCCTCCCTTGCTTTCTTTTCTAGGACTTAAGGAGCAGGGCCCCTTCCACCTCACCTGACTTGGGGTCACCAGGCTTTCCATTGGCCATGGGGGGAGGGCCCAAAAGGCTGGGTGGTCCTGAAAGTAGACACGAAAACATGGTCATCAGAATGAACTAAAGGACTGATGATCATTCTGTTCTTATGTGTTTTCCTTCTACTACACATTTCTTGGAGATTTGGTAGCACAGTGCCTAAGGCACTTGACTGTTAACCAGAAGGCTGGTGGTTCAAACCCACCAGCCACTCCTCGGAAGGAAGGTTGGGCAATCCTACTTCCGTAGTGATACTGCCTCGGAAACCCAAGGAGGGGTCGCTATGAGTCGGGGCCGACTCAACGGCACATAACAACAACAACAACACACATTTCTTAGTCCAATCAGTAAGCCAAATACATTCTCAGCAATGTTGTCCAGTTCTCATCCCACCTATCTGCCCTTCCTTTGCAAAGCTGTGTCAGGGCTGCAAAAAGTAGACTCAGTCCTAGGGAGCCAGGGAAGATACTGATAACTTTCTCTTGCCCTTAGTGATGATATCCAAAACATCACAAGTAATTCTCTTCCCGTTCTCCCGAGGAAAGAGCAATTTAGAGAAGGCTGCACTTCCACCTTCCCTGTGAAAATCTGATCTCAATCACCCCAGTCACCACAATGTGCAACCTTTCTTCGGCCCCTCTCCCCTGCCGTTCTGCGAATGGGCGTATAAGCCCTTTACCCTCTTCCCCCTGCTCTCCCTAGAAAGGTTTTTGGGTCGGATTAAGGTTTAGAGTTCAGGTAAGAGAAGTCCTCGTTCAAGGCTTCATCCCAGGTACGCTCCCTCTCCCAGCGCTTGCACCCTTCCTTCTTCCATCAGAGGGTCCCCTCCCCACCTTGTCAGCCCCTAGCTTCTCGCCAGGACTGGCTGACAGGGAGGTACACCTCCTGGGCTCCTCACCGATGGGACTCCCGTCGTCCTCGTCACCAGTCTCTTCCCGCTCTGGCAGTGGGGGCTGCGGCGGTGGAGGCTGCTGCTGCTGATCCTGCTTCTTTCGCTTCGGCATCGTGGCTGCGGCAAAGGCTACAGAGGGATTTGGAGGGCAGTGAGGAAGGGGCAGGCTGGGATTCTGTTTCCGCTTCCGGGGTGCGGTGGACAGTGAAGCTGATGCTCCCGCCAATTCATTTCCGGAAGACTGTGGGGAAAATTTGCTGCAGCCCTATTCTCACATCTTTGCCAGGCACAGAGACAATGCAGAGCTTTCTCTTTGCTGCATTTTTATAAAGGCCTAAACAAATATTCCATTCCTTCCGCGCCGCTGAGAAAACACCATAACCCGTTCCTCACAGTGCGCCATAGAGTCCAGAGGGTCTCGACCAGAAGGCCTGAGATGCCAGAGCTGTCGCATCCTAAATCCGCCACATCCGGTCCCCGGTTACTATAGTAACAGCTGTAGGCACAACTTGGTGCTCTCTGACCTCCTTCCAAAAGTCCTCTTCCCATCCAGGTTTCCCTCCTCGCCCGCGCTTATCCTTAGGATCTGTAAACCTGCTCCTTCTTGCCATTCTGACACAGAATTTGGGTTCCAGCAGAGCAGCGCCCAGGATACTTGAGATCGCCACCGGGTCCTCAGAACGTCTGCCCCTGTAGCACAACAACCTGGTTTCACTCCTGGGATGCGTCAACCTCAGGGTTGGTAAAGCAGCTTCTACGTGTCCACGCCCCCTTCTCTCCCAGTTGGTAGGACCCGCCCTCCGCTCCGCCTCCCCCGCCAGGTGAGTGGTAGCTTCTCAACGGCGCACAAGGTAGTGATGACATACGTTCCCCCTCCCCCGAAAGAGAGTTGGTAGCGTCCGTGACGAAGTTAGTCTGATCCTCCCACGCGCGTCTCCTTCCTTGCTGCCGCTGCGCCCTCTTCATGAGACTGGCTCTCATGTGCGGGTAGCCCACTCAGCATCATCCTCTAGCCTTGCTCCAGGAGGGAAGTGACTGTATTTCCCCTGTCTGCCTTCTACCTAGGCCGCCGTGGCTAGTCGCTCGGCCCGCCCGTTGACGTCACCTGCTAGCCCCGCCCCCTCCAGGGTCCCGGGCCCTTGCGGCGGGGGCTGCCCGGGGGGAGTCAGTTGAGGCGGCAGGAGCTCGGCGGAGGGCCGGCCAGGTGTCTGGTCCTGGCCATGCCGAGGAAGAAGCCCTTCAGCGTGAAGCAGAAAAAGAAGCAGTTGCAGGACAAGCGGGAGCGGAAGCGAGGTCAGTAAGAGAGCGGGAGGAGGGGGCGGGGCTCGAGCTCCCGCACATCTGGAGGGAGAGGTGTGCCCGCCGCATCTCTAGAGGGCGTGGGGGGAGGGCAGAGCGCGAGGCGACCAGCGCGGGAGACCGCGGAGGTTCCTCCACCTTAGCCCCCCTACATCTGGATGGATTGAGGGAAGGATGGAGAATTGGGGGAGGGGAATTCCTCCAGCTCGAACCGGGCACCATCCCCGCAGCTCCCTGGAGGAGGGGTGAGTACCCCCACGCACATCCGGGAGGGTCCCAGCAGAGAGGCTGGGAGAACTAGGCCTTGAAAGAAGTGGGGTGCTGTGGGGAGGAGTCAGGCAACCTAGGAAGGGGGTCTTCAGGCCCCTGAGAACTGGCCGGCACTGGCGTCACTGGCCCCTCCTCGTAGGACTTCAAGATGGGCTGCGCTCCAGTTCCAACAGCCGCAGCGGGAGCCGGGAGCGGCGGGAAGAGCAGACCGATACCTCTGACGGGGAGTCTGTGACCCATCATATCCGCAGGCTCAACCAGCAGCCTTCCCATGGGCTGGGCCCGCGAGGCTACGACCCAAATCGGTGAGGGTGGGCGGGCATGGGGATGGGAGTGTGGGTGTGTTGGCAGGGGCTTCCACGACTACCCGGAAGTTGGGGAACGCGGGCTGCTGGTGGAGGCTTGAAAGTGGTGGAGGTGAGGTTGGAATGTCCTTTTAGAGAGCGTGGAGAGAGTTTGGCTTTAGAAGGGTGAAGCTTAGGGTCAGGCTGAGTATCTGTGAAAGAGGACTTGGAGGAAGGCAGACCGAGAGAGAACAACTCTGGAGGGAAAGCTTTGAGAAGTTGCTTGCCCAAGAGGAGGGAAGATGAGTTTGTGGCTACAAGATTGTGCTGGATTCCTGGTCCCTGTCTGTCTAGATACCGGCTGCATTTTGAGCGGGACAGCAGGGAAGAGGTGGAGAGGAGAAAGAGAGCAGCCAGAGAGCAAGTGCTCCAGCCTGTCAGTGCTGAGGTTCTGGAGCTGGACATCAGAGAGGTCTATCAGCCTGGTTCAGGTGAGTGAGAGGTCAGCATCGCAATATTTGGGAAGGAAATGCACTGGAGAAGGGAGTTTGGAAGGGTCTGAGCTGACTGTAAGGAAGGAGAGGTCTGGGATGCACCTTTGAGTCCTGAAACTATCTTCATACTTACTTGGACTTTTTATTGGTTTCCCAGCCTTGGACTTTCCCCGACGTCCTCCTTGGAGCTATGAAATGTCCAAGGAGCAACTGATGAGTCAGGAGGAACGGAGCTTCCAGGAGTATCTTGGAAAGATTCATGGGGCTTACACATCTGAGAAGCTCAGCTACTTTGAGCACAATCTGGAGGTGAGACTAGAGTTGGGGTAAAAGTTTGGTGTAGAAACCCATGGTCAAGTTGATTTGATTGGGAGGGGGACTCTGGCTCAGGTTCTCATCTACCATCTGTTTTTCAGACATGGAGACAGCTGTGGCGAGTGTTGGAGATGTCTGACATTGTCCTGCTCATCACTGATATCCGACATCCAGTGAGTAAGGGAGGTGAGGGTGGACAAGGGGGAAGGAATATCTTGTGGAGTCAAGGTCAGAGGCAGGAGTTGGGAGACAGAGAGGCATCTTTTTTCATTTCTAGCTCCTCTACCCTGTGGTGATGTCTGCAGTCAGGGACTCAGTTCTATACTTACCTGTTGTTATAGCCTGTCATTCTTTTCCTGGCTCTCCCTTTCTATCCTTCGTTTGACAAATAATTGCCCACCAGAGGTAGGCCAGTGGAAAATCCCAGTGTGGAGCTCTAGAAGATTCTATGGAGGCAACTGGGGACGTCCCCTGCCTCATCCATAGGTGCCCTTTCTTCCTTATGTCATTTCTCTAGCACCACCACCTCAATTGTCACCTTAGTTGCTATAGGACTCAGGCCTCACCTGGAATGCTAGGGTAGTGGTTAAGACTGTAGATTCTGGTACTGGACTGTTCTTTTGCAAATTTTGGCTTTTTTACTTTACTGTTGTCCTTCAATACGAAAGAGAGAGGTCAGTGGGGACATTTAGGTTGGAGGTCCTTATTGGCATGTACACGTACACTTCTATACACATATGTATACCTATTCACATAGGCATACACATACAGAGCCACACATTCTCAACATACAAGCACACATATGTACACATATGTGTGTGTGTACTACCTAAGGCATTTGACTACTAACCAGAAGGCTGGTGGTTCAAACCTACTAGCTACTCCTTGGAAGGACGATTGGGAGATCTACTTCTGTAGTGATACCGCTTCAGAAACCCAAGGAGGGGTCGCTATGAGTCAGATCCAAGTTGATGGCAGTGAGTTTGGTTTTACATATATACAGTTGTATACATAGGAAAACATGTATTAATTCTTTGTCAATCCCCTCTTCCTCTTTCCTGATACTAGACTTTATTTAAGCATGCTAGGAGTCAGTATTTTCTTGTCTTGTTTTTGCCTTATCTCCATCCCTCATCATGACTTGCAGTAAGTCCCCTAAAGACTCATGCACTAGTATTACTAACCTATGTTTTATCTTCTTAAGTGTGGCTGTTTCATTGTTTTCACCCTAGAATCTGCTACTGCCAGAGCCTTGTCTCTGAGCTGTGCCTAGTGAATGGGGATCTGGAGGCAGAGGACTCTGGGTTTCACTGCTCCATCCCCTTATGAATCCTGCCACAGGTTGTGAATTTCCCACCAGCACTTTATGAGTATGTGACTGGAGAACTTGGGCTGGCTCTGGTGCTGGTCCTGAACAAAGTGGACCTGGCCTCACCAGCTCTTGTGGTTGCCTGGAAGCACTATTTCCATCAACACTACCCCCAGCTCCACATCGTCCTTTTCACCTCTTTCCCTCGGGATCCTCGCTGTCCACAGGACCCTAGTAGTGGTGAGTGGGCAATTAGAAAGGCACACTGCTGGAGGTGAGGTGGCAGGGGATCAAAGGGAAAACAGGCTTGTTGACAAGGGGTACCTAATCTTTAGCCCAAGGATGGTGGCAGAGATGGGAAGCAGAAGCCAGTGTACTAACTCTTTGTGCCCTGTGACCTCAGTCTTGAAGAAAAGTCGGAAGCGAGGGAGAGGGTGGACTCGGGCCCTGGGACCGGAGCAGTTGCTGAGAGCCTGTGAAGCCATCACTGCGGGAAAAGGTATGTGTCCCTCATAGGGGTGCTGTGGGATACCCAAGGCCTGGAGTTGTTTTGCTGATCTTTCCAGAAGTCAGCCCCTCTATTATGGAAGTGTGACAGAAGCCCGAGGGAGGGATAGAATAGGGAGCAGGCTGAGCTTGTTGGGGCTAGAAAAGTAGCAGGTAGGTGGGCACCTCAGTGGTTTGGTACCTTTAGTCTTCCCAGTACTTTTCAGAAACTCAGAGAAATGGCAGTAATTCTCGGGCTGGGCTCACATGAAAGATGGGGTGTCTATGGCTTGCTGTTGTGCAGGCTGACACTACCCAACTCTAGAGGGCACCAGTCAGTCCCATCAGCTGTGCAATGCAGTCTATGCCATCATTCACAGCAGCTCTAAGAAGAACTTCTTTCATCTTCTTTCCTGAGTAGTTGACTTGAGCAGCTGGCGGGAGAAGATTGCTCGGGACGTGGCTGGGGCCACCTGGGGTAATGGCTCTGGGGACGAGGAGGAAGAAGATGATGGGCCGGCAGTCTTGGTGGAGCAGCAGACTGATTCAGCAATGGAACCAGCTGGCCCAACCCGAGAGCGCTACAAGGACGGAGTGGTGACCATTGGCTGTGTGGGTAAGGAAGTGGCAGCCCAGGCATGGTGGCCTCTTTGGAGGCACAGAGTTTCAGTATTTGGAAAAGTATTTGCCAAATTTCACTATTGGAAAAGAGGGGTGATGATCATGCTTCATTAGACCTCAGGGTTTTTGAGGGGGAAGTCCTCTGCTGGTAGCTGTGGGCAAGGTGGAGGAGGCCATCTGTTGTCCTGGCAGGATTACAGGCACACCTGTGTTAAAGTCCATCCCTTCTCAGCTGTGTGACATTGAGCAAGTTCATAAACCACTCTTGAGTCTTAGTTCCTTTGATTTTAATTTTGTATTGCAATTTAGGTGAAAGTTTGCAGAACAAATTGGTTTTCCATTCAGCATTTCATACTCATTTTGTTTTGTGACATTCATTGCAATCCCCACAATGTAACAGCACTTTTCCCACTTCCTTCCTGTGTTTACCTTTTCCCTTTGTCCTTCTTTCCCATCCTTTTTGATCTTGATGCCTTTTTGATTTTGCGTGCTTAATTGTTCCAAAGAATGTGTACCTCCTTGGTATTATTGTTCACCTTACAGGCCTGTTGTATGGCTGAAAGTTGAGCCATAGGCTGAGTTCAGTTCCAGGCTTGCAGGGTACCTAAGGGCCATAGTCTTAGAGGAGTACCTTTGATTTTATAAATGAGGATATTGATACCTAATTAAAAGAATGGACATGAGGGATGAATGGAATAGTGTTAAGAGTGCCTAACAGTGACTGACAAATAATCATAGTGGTAAAAGCAAAATTATTATTATAGCTTAACACTTACATGATGCTTATTATGTACTGACCACTGTTCTAAGTGACTTGTATATAAATATATACATATATAATACATTAATCAGTTTCATAATACTAATTTTTAGTTGTAGCAATGAACCCATAGTAGAGTTATCATTAAATCATGGTAAGCACTCAGCAAGTATTAATTTCCTTCTGGGTCTTAATCCTTTAAGTCTGTTGTCGAAGAGAAGCTTCCCTTAACCAGGAACTTTGGCTCTGCTCTTAGGAGAAAAGAATGACAGTCCAGAGCCCCTTTTCATTTTGGGTGGGATTCCTTGGAATTCTATTTATTGGAAAAGTGAGAAGAGATCTTTGTCCAGTTATATCTGAGGTAATACTGGAATAAAAAAGGGCCCAGCACAGAAGAAACTGGGAGAGTGGAATAGAGAGTGGGGCTCCTTGGCAATGCTCTGGACTTACTTTCAGTCTCCTTTCCATCTTGGGAAAGACCTGCCTGATTGCTGACAGATTGCTCCCTTTTCTGGTCACTGCACCCTGACTTTCCTTACCCCTTGACTTCTGACCCTGGGCTTTCCCTCACCTGAGGCCTCTGTCCTCATCAGGAGCCCCTGCACTGAGTTGTCTGTTCATGGGGGTGGGGTCGGAAGAGTAGTGGCTCTGCCACAGGCAGCCCTGAGTTTGGGTTTCCCTTCAGCTCTCATTCACTTATCCATCTAACACATATTTGAGCACCTACCAGGTGCTAGGGAGCTCTGGTAATGTAGTGCCTAAGGCACTTGACTGCTAACCAGAAGGCTGGCGGTTGAAACCCACCAGCCACTCCTCAGAAGGAAGGTTAGGCAATCTACTTCTGTAGTGATACTGCCTTGGAAACCCAAGGAAGGGTTGCTATGAGTCAGGTCTGACTCGATTACAAATAACAGTACCACCAGGTGCTAGGTGCTGTTCCAGGGACTGGATATGTTGCCATAAAAATGGCAGAAAATATCTCTATGGAGCCGTTTTCTTGTGAATGAATAGATTAACAGTCTGAGATAATATGATTTATGGTCAACAAAAGAAAGCATTGAAATGGGATAGAGAGTGACTGAGGGCAGTGCATCCTCAAGGAAAGCCTCCCAAGGAGACACCTGGTAATGAGAGTAGAGAAGCTGTTTAGACATGTGGGGAAAGGGTCTTTCAGGCAAAGTGATCAACAAATGGAAGGTTCTTGAGGTGGAAATGAGTTTGGTGGTGGTGCCAGCAAGAGTAGAGTTTTGGGAGCCAGGGAAGAGTGGTATCGGAATGAGGTCAGAAGGGTCACTGGGACCACATCATGTAGAGTCTTGTGACTATTAGAGGGCATTTTAGATTTTATTCTAAGTCTGATGTAATACTGGAATAAAAAAGGGCCCAGCACAGAAGAAACTGGGAGAGTGGAATAGAGAGTTGGGCTCCTTGGCCATACTCTGGACTTACTTTCAGTCTCCTTTCCATCTTGGGAAAGACCTGCCTGAATCCATTGTGGTGGATTTTGAGCTGAATGACAGGCTCTGGTTTCCTTTTTTAAAGTTCATCTGTGGAATGGAGAATATATGCTTGGGCATGGCAAGAAAGGAAGAAGAGAAAGCAGTGGAGGCTGTTTCAGTAGTCCGGGGCGAAATAGCTCTGGTAGCGTAGTGCCTAAGGCACTTGACTGCTAACCAGAAGGCTGGTGGTTCAAACCCACCAGCCACTCCTCGGAAGGAAGGTTGGGCAATCTGCTTCCGTAGTGATACTGCCTCGGAAGCCCAAGGAGGGGTCGCTATGAGTCGGGTCCGACTCAATGGCACATAACAACAATGGGAGAAATATGAGTTTCTTAGAGTAGGGTGGTAGAAGTGGAGGTGATGAGACAGGTAGGGGCAAACAAAATTGCTGGTGGATTGCATTTGGAGTATAAGACAAAGAGAGGAGTGAAAAAGAACTTCCAGGTTTTGGGGCTGAGCAGGTGGGAATACTGAGATGGGAAGATTGGGAGAGGAGAAGATTCTGAGGGTCAGGCAGGAGAAGGAAACCAAAAATTTTTAAAATCTTAAAGATCCCAAGTAGAGATATTGAATAGATAGTTGGGTATTGGAGTCTAGAGTTCAGGAGGGAGAGGAGGATTGGAGATTTGAATTTGGGAGAGATTTTAAATGTGGAGAGGCATTGGTAGATATAAATAGTGTTTAAAGCCATCAGATTTGATGAGATGTGGGAGGAGGTAGGTGGAAAAGAGAAAGCCAAGGACTGTGCCAGGGCAAGCTAGCATTTAGAGGTTGGTAAAAGGAAGAGGAGGAAAACAGTGTCCTGACGTCAAACGAAAAAACTGTTTGGAGAGGAAAGAAGAGGTTAGCTGTGTTAAAGGTTGCTAATGAGTTGAGTAAGATGAGAACAGAGACTTAACCAGTGGGCTTGACCATGTACAGAGCAGTGGTTTCAGTGCAGTGGTGGAAAGGAAATCCAGATTGTGGTTGGCCAATGAGAGGATGTGCAGCAACATGGGTGAACTTCACATAACATTGTGCAAAAGGAGCTAGACAACAATGCATACTGCATGATTCTATACTTCACATATTGCAAAGTTAAACTGTATTGTTGAAGGGTGCACAGATAATAAAACTAAAAGGAGAAACAGGGATGGAATCTCTTAAAAGTCAGGAAAGTGGTTCACATGTGTGAAGGAAGAGGGTTATGACCCAGAAGGGATAAATGGAGCCTTTGAGGAAGTGTGCTACACTGCTTGCAGAGGTGGGTTATGTGAGATTCATTAATTCATTCTATTAGGTTCATTAATTCATTAGGATCTTGGCTGAAAGTAAAGAAGACCAGAAATCTGTTTACTTGTGTTTTATTTACTATGCAAAGGCATTCAACTGTGTGGATCATAACAAGTTATGGATAACTTTGAGAAGAATGGAATTTCAGAACACTTAATTATGTTCATGAAGAACCTTTACAGAGACCAAAAGCAGTCTTTGAAACAGAACAAGGGGATACTGAATGGTTTAAAATCAAGAAAGGTGTGTGTTATTGTTGTATCTTTTCATCATACTTAATGCAGTCTGTATGCTGAGCATATAATCAAAGAAGCCAAGTTATATGAAGATTGTGGGATTAAGATTGGAGAAGGACTCATTAACAACCTGCGATATACAGATGACCCAGCCTTCCTGGCTGAAAATGAAGGAGACTTCAGGAATTTACTGATGAAGATGAAAGACTACAGCCTTCAATACGGATTACACCTCAACATAGAGAAAACAAAAATCCTCGCAACTAGACCAATAAGGAACATTTTTTGCGTGTGACAATTTGAGTACTTTAACTTATGAAGAAAGTCACCATTCTCAGGTTTTATTTCCTCAATAAACATATTAAACATTTAAAAGACGTAATTACTTGTATACATGTGAATACAAAATGAAGATATACAGGAAATCAGAAAGTATTTTGCCAAAGAAGGAGATTTTGTGCCAAGAATCAGAAATAAGCTCTTCACTGTAATTAGCCTTAAATTTTCCTCTGGGCTTCCTGTCAGGCAAAGTAACAAAGGGAACACAATGTGTTGTAAGCTTTCATTATCAGATAAGAGAAAGCGAGCAGGGCAACTCATTCAGAAGAAACAAATGTTCTAAACAAAATGTATTGGCCCTAATTTCTAAACAAAATGTATTAGTGGAGTCTTTTGGGAAGGGAAGTAAGTTACTAAATAATCTCATTGGTAGTGATCCTTCAGAGGACACAGAAGTGTCCTCCATACCAAGGCCTTGCATTTGAATCATCATTGCAAAAAATTGTATTCAGTACTCTGCCTAGGCAGACATCATAAAGACTTTGTGAGTTCTTTGATCCACTATGTTGTAAGGTGCTGTCAAGTTGTCTCCAGGTCATGGTGCCCCATGGACAATAGAATGAAACCTTGACTGGTCCTGCACCATCTTCACACTCATTGGTAGGCCATTAGCCATTGTCTCAGCCAATGTATATTTTGAGTTCCTTCTAACTAAAGAAGCTCATAATAAGCAGCATCTTGATAAATAGAAGATTGAAGTTGTCAAGGATTTCATTTTACTTGGATCGGCAATCAACATCCATGGAAGCAGCAGTCAAGAAATCAAACCGTATGTTGCATTGGGCAAATCAGCTGTAAAGGACCTCTTTAAAGTGTTTAAGAGCAAAGATGTCACTTTGAAGACTAAAGTGCACCCGACTCAAGCCATGGTATTTTCAGTAGCTTCGTATGCATGTGAAAGCTGAACAGTGAATAAGGAAGACTGCAGAAGAGTTGATCCTTTTGAATTGTGTTGGTGAAGAATATTGAAGGTACCATGAACTGCCAGAAGAATGAATAAATCTGTCTTGGAGGAAGTACAGCCTAAATGTTCTTTAGAAGCAAGAAAGGCTGGACATCATCTCTCATACTTTGGTCATGTTGTTAGAAAAGACCAGTCTCTAGAGAAGGGTATCATACTGGATAAAGTAGAGGGTCAGTGAAAAAAGGAAAGACCCTCAACAAGATGGATTGACACAGTGACTGCACCAGTGGGCTCAAGCATGGCAACAATTGTGAGGATGGCACAGGACCTGACAGTGTTTCGTTCTGTTGTACTTAGGGTTGCTATGAGTCAGGACTGACTTAATGGCACCTAACAACAACAGGCTGTATATTGAAGTTTTCTGTGTTTTTGTGTATGTTATAGTTTATAGTTACAACAAAAATGGTATGAAGAAGTGGTGACAAAATAGACTTCTTTTAAGAAGCTTTACCATAAAGGGGATTGAGAAATGGGGATGATGGGGCTTGTAAAAGGAGCATTCCTCCCTCCCTTTTCTTCTCCTCTCTCCTTTCTTTTTCCTTCCTTTGAAAGGAAATACTTCCTTGTGTTTTAAAAGGGGCATTGTCAGTATGATGGTGTATCTACCTTGCCCTAGCAACAGTGAGCTGCCTGGGAGCAGGTACTCAATGGTCAGAGTTGCATTTTACAGGGTTGGGGTTTTTCCACATAGTGAAGCGAAGGGGAGAGACAGGACCAGGTAGTTCAAGATCTAGGAAGGAGACTGGCTATAGAACTGGGTAACAGAATCTAAGGTAAGAAGGGAAGTGAGTCCATGAGTCAGGCATGATGAGTGTTACCATGTTAGGGCCAGGGTCAAAGAATATTGGAATGAAGGAGCCAGTGTAAGTGAACTGGAAAGATGAGATATAAGGTCAGAGAGAGTGGATCTGGGAACAGATTTTGGGAGTATGCAGTGACAAGTCCAGGATGACCATGGGAGTGGGTAGCTGGGGAGGGGAGTGAAGTGACATCAAAGCACTGAGAGGCCAGCGTGCTGGACAGGAGATGCATGTAGGTACTGAAGTCAGCCAGAATGATGGTGTTGGTGTTTGTGAGAACTGCAGTGATCCAATGATTTGCAGTCTTCTTTTTTTTTTTTTTTTTTTTTATTAGGATTTGGGTGAAGATTTACAGAGTAAATTCACTTTTCATACAGCAGTTCACATATACTTTGTCTCATGTCATTGACCAAAATTTACAATGCAGCAGCTCTCCTCCCACTTCCTCCCCATAGTTACCTCCTCCCAGTGTCCATCCCTTCATACTCTTCGAGAGGCCCATTGTCTGCCAACCCTGTATATGATCTTGGATACACTCTCCATTTAGACATACATAATTGTTTAGCTTGTTCACCCATCTATCCGTCCCTATACCCATGTTTGCTTTCATTGACAACTCAGTATTGTATTTACAAAGGGGTTCATATTTGTTGTTTGTACTGCCCATGTAACTCTCTCTGTCTTTCTCATCCTCAATGCTGCCATATTGGTCACTCACATTTGGTACATTGCCCTTCTCTTCACCCAAATCAATATTTATCTCTATCTATCTAACAGCATTCCCTCCCCTTCCCTCCCACCCCTGGTAACCAACAAGAAAATGTCCTCCAATATATAAACCTTTCCTTAACTTTCACAATAACGGACTAATACAATATTTGTCCTTTTGTGACTGACTTATTTCGCTCAGCATAATGTCCTCCAAGTTCATCCACGTTATGCGGTGTTTTGCAGATTCTACATTATTCTTTAGCGTTGCATAGTATTCCATTGTGTGAATGTACCAAAGTTTGGTTATCCATTCCTCAGTTGTTGGACATCTAGGTTGTTTCCAAGTTTTGGCTATTGTAAATAGTGCGATTTGCAGTCTTCTTGAACAAATTACTGATAGTTATATGAGATGCATGTCTCACTTGTTTTGAACACTTGTATTGTATGGAACTTTGGTGGTACTATGGGTAAAGCATTGGAGTGCTAACCAAAATGCCAGTGGTTTGAACCCATCAGGTGCTCTGTGGGATGAAGATGCAATTTGCTTCTGTAAATATTTATAGCCTTAGAAACCCTATGGGACAGTTCTACTCTGTCCTGTAAGGTCACTATGAATCACAGTCAACTCAGTGGTGGTGAGTTTGGTTTGGTTTACTATACTATACTGCAGACACTGACCATGCAGTTATATGTTATCTGAATTCTGATTACTCTGAGGTGGAAGACATCTACACTGTAAAAAGGGAAACAGGCTTAGAAAGTTAAGTGAATTGACTTAAGGTCACAAAGCTGGTAAGTGGAGAAGCCAGGATTCACCCCTGGCAATCCAAAGCCATAACTTGCTTGCACTGTTCAGTGTTGTACAGCTTCCTTTATTGTTGAATGTTAATTCTGCTTTCATGTATAGCTAAGGCAGCATCCAAGTCCTGCCTGTCACAGAGTGAGGACCTGTGAAATGTTAATTTTCTTTGTGCTTTTCTTCCCTTTCCCAGGTTTCCCCAATGTGGGAAAATCCTCGCTGATCAATGGTCTGGTGGGGCGGAAGGTCGTGAGTGTCTCCAGAACACCAGGCCACACCAGATACTTTCAGACCTACTTCCTCACTCCCTCTGTGAAACTCTGTGACTGCCCAGGCCTCATCTTCCCCTCTCTCCTGCCCAGGCAGTTGCAGGTACTTGGGCAAAGGGAACAGGGGGAGAGAGAGAGAAGGTGGGAAAGGAGGAAGAAGGCTGAGTGCTCTTGTTTCCCTCAGGTTCTGGCAGGGATTTACCCCATTGCCCAAATCCAGGAGCCGTACACAGCTGTGGGCTATCTGGCCTCCCGAATCCCCGTGCAGGCTCTACTCCACCTGCGCCACCCAGAAGCTGAGGACTCCTCAGCAGAACATGCCTGGTGTGCCTGGGACATATGTGAAGGTGGGCTCCATGTGTCTGACTTCTCCCCACCTGGCTTCATCTGCCCTCCCTTACCAGCCATCCTTCTGACATTGCCGTTTACCCTGTCCTATCTCCTTTTCCTCTTCTCAGAGATTCTGTCATTGGACAAAGCAGTTGTCCACTCAACTCTGTATTTCTATCCCAAAGCCAGCAAGATCTTTGGCCTAGAATGTTCTCAGGGAAGCCAGAAAGACTGTGTTATGGGAATGGCCATCATGGTGACTGGCACCTGGTTAACTGACTTCTCTCCCATTGTTCTTTTATCACTCTAGCCTGGGCAGAGAAACGTGGTTACAAGACAGCCAAGGCAGCTCGGAATGACGTGTACAGAGCAGCCAACAGCCTCCTACGGCTGGCAGTGGATGGCCGCCTCAGCCTGTGTTTTCATCCTCCAGGCTACAGTGAACAGAAAGGTCAGAGATCCAAGTATTCTTCCCCATCCCCCTGCTTTCACTTAGGCAAGAGAATGTGGGCTTCGTGGCCAGACAGGGAGGGCCAAACTTGGTTTCCACACCTCTTGTTCAGATCTGTTATTTCATGTCTCTGAGATAGTTTCCTGGTCTGCGAAATGAGAATAATTCCCTCATGGCAATGTTGTGGCAAAAACTGAAGTTAATATGTGCAAAGTTTCTGTCCAGTCCCTGGCACATGCAAGGCCTTCAGGTATTAGGTGAATGAATGAATGCATGCCCACAGCTATAAAGCTTATTATAAAGCTATATTGTAACTATAAAGCTACTTCTTATTATTGCTAGCCTTTGCCTCTTCTCCATCTTTCTCTGGCTTTAGTTCCTTGCTCAAAACTCTCTTCCCTTTTTTTTTTCCTTCTTGTTTTGGTTCTCCAGGCACTTGGGAATCCCATCCAGAGACCATGGAGCTGGTGGTTTTGCAGGGCAGGGTGGGGCCAGCAGGTGATGAGGAGGAGGAGGAGGAAGAGGAAGAGCTGAGCAGTTCCTGTGAGGAGGAGGGAGAGGAAGATCGGGATGCAGATGAGGAGGGGGAAGGGGATGAGGACACCCCAACCTCAGCTACGGGGTCCAGCCTGGCTGCCCGAAACCCTTATGCCCTTCTGGGTGAGGATGAATGCTGAGTCCCCCCCCTGCGCCATTTCCCTACCTAGTATCTTTGCTTTTGGACTGACCTGGGGGTATCTCCCCTCTGCCGCCCCAATTGTGAATAAAGATTGTCTGCTTTGTAGCCCCTTCCCCAGATGGACTGAGGTGAGAGCGGCTGGTTTAGGCTTGCAACTTTGGAAAGTTTTTTTTTTTTTTGGTGCGTTCTGTTTGCTAAGTTAGTTTTTTTAGGAATTAATTCAGCAGGTTCTAAGGCCCTGAAAACAGCTTCCTGTGCCCGCTCTCCCACTTGGCGTCTTGGGAATCCCTTTACCAAAATGGGAAGGGGAGCCAGTTCAGTTTTTTGAGGTTTGATCTAAATCCAACTCCCTTTTGGAGCATGTGCCTTTCCCTCTCTGACAAGTAGCTGCCCTGTGCGCCCCCTGCTGCCAGACCTGGGATTGTACCCCCTGGGAGAAGAAGCAGTAAGAAGTGTCACAAGCGGATGTCTCCAAGTGAGATGTTTACAGGATTTATTCAAGTTCAGCAAATATTTATTGAGGCTCTGCAGTGTACCTGGGCCTCTGCTGAGCACTGAGCATATAAAGATGCACAAATGGGGCCTGACTTAAATTCACCAACCTGGTCGTGATCAAAACCCCACCCTCAGCACCTAAGTATTTGGATTGAGAAGAATATATTATGTTCTCCAAATCCTGGGGCTTCATGTGGTATAACTCCAGAACTTGTCAATAGAAATTTCTGGTTAAGACAAAACGCTTGTGAGAATGTTGATTAAATGTGTGGGAGTAGAGTCTTAATTACAGGAACACAACTAGCATGTACATTTATGATTTGAGCAGACCAGCCCTTTAAGCACAGAGATAGGTTTCATTACTTAAAATCTCAGAAGCTAAGCATGTACAGGATACCTAGGGGAGGGCACAGACCTGGCCTCCTGAATTGCACTTGGTTTGGGATGGAGCCAAGGTGGCCCAGGGCATGGTCTGAACTAGGAGTCATCAGGTGGTCAGAGCCATGCTATGGTATCATCTGCGTTATCAGCAGAAACAAGCTCTTGTGAACTGTGGCACCTTTGGCCTTGCTGGGCTCTGCCTTGTTACATGAGCAGCGGGACTTCCTAGATTTATTTCTTGGGAAAGAGGGAGAATGAACTTTGTCTCGTTGGCTGCCACGATGTTGTTATCTGGTTGGAGGGTAGCACAAAACATAGTTTGACAGGTTAACCATTAGAAGTTGGATGAGGAAGGAAGGAATTTGAAATTCTTTGAAGCGTGCTATTGGATTTCTCTAATGGACAATTAGAGACAGTTTTCTCAAATTCTGGACGATTTCTCTTATACCAGCAGAGACCCTGACAGCCAAGGAGCAAAGGAAGCGAAAGTGTATTTACAAGATGCTGAGGTATCTGGGCCACACATTCCCTTCAGCTCATCCCTTCCACTGTTCTAATGAGGACATAATTACTGGAATTTACACTCAAATGCATAGGTTAAATACCAGCATGTGAATGTGCTTCAAGGTTGGACAGAATGTACCAGAAAAAGTCTGTTGAGAGGAAAGTTTGTCTATCTCTTATCTTGGGCATTTTAGCCTGTGGGGTAGGTCTGCTGATGGAGAAAGGGGGTCCCAGCTTAGCTTCCTCTGCGTCATAATGCTCAGGAGTGTTCAGTGTCTCCTCTGCTGGCGGTGGGGTGGGGACACTGGATTCATCACCTCAGTAGAACCACCAGGAGTCTGTGCCCCTCCTCCTCTGTGCTGCTGCTCTCCACATGTCTTTATCCTTTACTATCTCATGAGTTTCACCAGGGCATTTGGGAGAATCTGAGGATGGGGGTGAGTCAGACCTGAGGTGGAGAGGCAGCTGAAGAGGGGGGATTTTAATGCTAAAGACTTGGAAGGAGGCAACTTAACATCCTCAAGGGTAAATCTCCCAGGTGTCCGTCAGTGACTTGCTCACCCCATAGGAAGATAACATTGGGAAAAGAACTATCTTAGGAACAAACAGATGAAGGAGAAGATGGATAAATGGCACCCCAATCCCAGTGTCTAAGGCACAAGTTGAAAGAGACAAACGAAGGAACTCGGGTCTAGTGCCCCCTCTATGCTGATATACCTGGAAACCTTGTCTTTACTCCTATAGGTCATGCCTACCATGTGGATACTTGGCCATGGAGGTCTGGGGTCTGGTCATTCCCACAGCTGCTGGCAAGTCTCCTGATGGAGAGAAACCAGTGCTCTCTCATCCATGCTGGGACTTCATTTAAATATTGATCAACTTCCAAGCTTCTCTTTTCCCAAACTATTCTGAGTTCTAGCCTTGATTCTGGAACAAGGTAGCCATGTGTGGCCCAGGGTAGATAACTTATCTCGGCCTCTGTTTCTTCATATAATCAGTAACACAAATCGTTGAAAACAGTACGTGCCAGGCATACTGAGTTCTGGAACAAAAAGTAGAATAAGGCATAGACCCCCACCCTCAAGGAGTTAATGCTTTAGTGGAGCAACACCAATAATGCTAATACAGTAATGCAGTACTTCTACAGCACTATGTAAATTATAAAGGTTATTTTCCACGTATTTATTGAGCTATCATAGCTAAGGTAGATGGTACTATGATTATTTCAAGGACTCATTCACCCACCAGACACTTGCTGAGCAATTACTATTTGCCAATCAGTGTGAAGTGGTAAGTGAGAATTGGCCTTTTGTGGGGCTGAGGATTTATTGGAGAATGGAAACAAATGAATTACAAAAGTGTGGTAAGTGCTGTAAGAAGGGTGGTACAGGATCCCTTGGGGCAATGGTAGGTACATACAGGAGGAGCCTTGGGGTGCTGACTAGGAAGGGGTGGAGGACAGGGTTTCAAGCTATGTATAACAAATGAAATACAACTAGGAAAAAAAAAAAAAGTGATCCATGGTGAAGAATTGCTATGGGAACACCCAATAGGGACAGATAAGCTAGTCTTGGCCTCTTAGAGGAACACAGATCCAAGCCGAGGCCTGAAGACAACAGGAGTTAGCTAGGCAAAGAGAGGAAGAGCCTTCCAGGCAGACGGAACAGCAAAGGTCAAGGAACAAGTGCATAGTGACTTTGGAAGGCTGTAATTTGTTCAGTATGGCTGGGGCAGAAGATGCAAGGGAAAAGTAGGGAAAGGTGAAGCTGAAAAGATAGGCTTGGTCCCGCTCTTGCTGGGCCTTGCCAGTCATAGTACAGATGTGAGGCTTTATCCAGAGCAATAATCAAGCACATTAAGCCTAAGATTGAGAAAAAGATCTGTGCTCAGAGGCCTCATTGTAGTTGCAATGTGGAGAACAGTGTGGGAAAGGGAGAGGTCAGGAGGTTTTGCAGCAATCTTAGTGGTAGAGAATACAAAGCAGAATTAATGTGGTAGCAGGTAGAAAGGAGAAATGAGGTTTAGGTAGTAGAAGTAACAGATCTTGAGGATTGTTTTTCTGTTTGGGGAGGGAGAGGAACAAGTTAGGGTGCACCCAGACTTGGACAGCTGAGTGGGTTGTGGGGGCATTTACTGAAATGGGGTTTATGCAAGAGGAGCTGAGGGGAAGAGAGTTTGTGGCTGAAGATAAGAGATTTGGCCACCATCAATATATGGTGGGATGAGAGTAACTGAAGGTGCTCTGGTGGGTAAGGCATTTGGTTGCTAACCAGAAGGTTGGTGGTTCAAACCCACCAGCTACTCCATGGGAGAAAGGTGAGACAATCCACTGTAAAGATTTACAGCCTTAGAAACCCAATGAGGGTTGCTATGAGTCAGAATCAAGTTGATAGCAGTGGGATTTGGCCTTTTTTTTTTTTTTTTTTCTGTTGGAAAGAGAAAATAGAGATGGTGGAAGCAAGGACAGAATTTTCAAGAATTTGTGTTTGCAATGGAAGAAAATTAGAGGGAGCAGAGTATATGGGATCAAAGGCCTTCCTTTTTAAGTTTGGAGAGTTTTGTGTATTTCAAAATGATGTTAGGAAGAAGGATAGAGTGGAGGAGGAGAGGGTGAAAATGCAGGAGAGCGTGGGGAAAAGTGATGGGATAAGCCCCGGAGAGCAGACAGGGGTGGCACTGAGTCCTGGTACAGGAATGACCTCAGGCAGGAGCTGGTGGCTTCTGTTGTAATAGGAAGAAACAGTGCTGATATTCAGCTGGTTCATACTGGTATAACTCAACTCATTAAAATTCTTCTGTACCAGTTAGCAAATAGTATAAAAGTAACAGCAATAAGCAATAAAAATAATAAGTTCCAAGATGAACTCATCTCAAGCTAATAAAGAGTGCAACAGCCATAAAGAAAAAAATCCTCACAACTGGACCAATAAGCAACATCATGATAAAGACTAAAGTTGTCAAGGATTTAATTTTACTTGGATCCACAATTAACACCCATGGAGGTAGCAGTCAAGAAATCAAATGACATATTGCATTGGGCAAATCTGCAAATGACTGAAGTGTTCCAAAGCAAAGATGTCACCTTGAGAACTAGGTACACCTGACCCAAGCCATGGTATTTTCAGTAGCCTCATATGCATGCAAAAACTTCACAATGAATAAGGAAGTCCAAAGAAGAATTGATGTATTTTGAATTATGGTGTTGGCAAAGAATGTTGAATATACCATGGACTGCCAGAAAAATGAACAAATCTGTCTTGGAAGAGGTACAGCCAGAATGCTCCTTAGAAGCAAGGATAGTGAGACTTTGTCTTGCTTATTTTGGATGTTATCAGGAGGGACCAGTCTGGAGAAGGTAATGCTGGGTAAAGTAGAAAGCAAAAAAAGAGGAAGACTCTCAAGGACATGGATTGACAGTGTCTGCAACAATGGGCTCATACATGGCAACAGTTGTGAGGATGGTGCAGGACCAGGAAGTGTTTTGTTCTGTTCTTCATGGGGTCACTATGAGTAGGAATCAAGTTCAGGACTTATAGTGACCCCTCCTTGGGTTTCTGAGGCAGTATCTCTATGGAAGTAGACTGCCCAATCTTCCTTCTGAGGAGTCGCTGGTGTGTTTGAACTGCCAGCCTTCTGGTTAGCAGTCAAATGCCTTAGGGCACTATACCACCAGAGCTCCCAACTTACTTGATAGCACCTAACAACAACAGCCATTGGTAAATGGA